GAGCCACAGTCTCCATGGCCCTTTCAAATGCCCACCTACAGGGTGTGCCTGCAAAGGCCGCCTCCACGCAATGAGCGAGACCAGGGCCCGCGCCTGTCTTTCGGTGCTGATGCAAGTGAAGCCCCAAGCAGAGCCCATGGCTGATCCGGCGGTGGGAACCCTAAGGAGGGCAGAGCACCCACCTGGCAGGCGAAGAAGAACACGGTGGTAATGCCCAACCAGCTGTGCAGGGAGTAGAGGTTGGCGATGTGCTGATGGTTGTGATATCTGAAGACGGCCACCAGCCCCAGCACGGTCAGGATGAAGGCCAGCAGGTGCAGGGACGCATGGGCGATTTTCCAGGGCAGCTTGGGTCCCACCCAGGACTGGGGCAGGCGGTACACCAGTGACGCTGCCGGAGAGAGCAGTCCAGGGCTCGGCCTCCTCCCCTCGTGCTCGCCCCACGTTAGGGGATTACCCACATGTCCCCACACAGCCTCCGACGAGGGAAGGAGGAAATGCCAGGACATGATCAGGAAATGCTAGGACACTCATCGGCGTCTTCTATCCTTGCATCATTTCCGCGACACCGGCCAGCCGTGAAGGCAGGAGAGAAGGGACAGGGATAAAAAGGGAGGAACTGCGATACCCAAGGTGGTCTGGAGGCAGGTTTGCCGGTTAGGTGACCCGGGTCCAGATCCTGGCTCCGCCTCCTAGCCACCTGGATCCTCTTTCTAATCTCAGCGTCCTCATCTGGAGGAGGGTAACAATAGAGCCCGCCTCACAAGCTTCTTGTAAAAGCAAAATGGGGTGATGACCTGAAGCACACGGGTAAGCTGCTCTCACAGTGTCCCCGTCGTCCCCGTTTACAAGTGGGGGAAGGAGGCCCTCCTGGGCCCCACGCCCAGCTCTGGACGCTCGGGGCCAAGATGGGTCCGGCAGGAGTAAGCAGACCCCTTATGCAAGGCCCTCTAGGCCAACAGAGGCGTCCACCTCCTGCTCCCAGAGCCGGACGGCCAACTGCAGCTCCCAGGCCCAGCCCCGCCCGCCCATCTCTGTGAAGGAAGCTTCCTTGAACAGCCATGCACGTGTTTCCGTCCTCCACGGCCACTCTCGGAGCACAGAGCAGAGCTGAGTTGCTGCAACACCCACCACATGGCCTGCAAAGCCTGATCCTACTCCCTGGCCCTTTTCTAGAAAATACCTGGGAAGCTGCCCTTTCCACATGCCCCATTCTCACTGCTTCTTCCTCCGAATGACACCTGGGCCCAAAGGCAGACCAACCGCCCGACATCCACAGCCCTGAGCCCAACAGTGACAGAGGCCAGGCCCGGAGAGGGACTGCTCTGCTCCGTCCAGGCCGGGCCGGCACGTCTCCCACGCTGACCTCACTCACCAGCGCTGTAGACCACCACCAGGCCAGCCACCATGAGCACCGGGTGACAGTTGAACGTGAGGATGCTGCCATCCCAGGCAAAGCCACCGTGCCAGCTCCACATCCAATAGACGGTGAAGAGGACACACATGGAGCCCAGGGAGGACAGCGCCAGGACCGACAGGTAAAAGCGTCCCTCGGCCATTCCGGTGAGGCTCCTGGAAGCAGCAGCAGCAGCGTGTCCCTCCGCTCAGCGCGCCCACACCCGCGAAGACCGCGCTCTCGGTCTGAAGGGTGGACACTTTTGTTTCAGTTCCCCTGGGCACCACCCCGTGAGGCCAGACCCCTGGTTAGGGACCGTGACTGAGGCCCCACCCCCTACCTGGCAGCACACTGGGCACCCAGCAGGCCCGGGGCTGGCCCAGAGTGGCGTCTCCTCTGCTGTGGCCGGTGCCAGGGCTCTGGGCCCACAGGGCCCGGAGATAAAGAGCGACCTCCTCACGGCAAAGAGGGGCAGGAATCAAACTCCAGCTGGATCACACTGAGGCCGGCCCGCACTTCGGACAGGAGCCGGCACACTCCCTCGGGCCACCGGGAGGACGGCCCTGGGCCCCGCTCTACAGAACAGCTCTTCCCCGATGGTGAGGTCTGTGGGCCGGGCCTGCCCTTCCCTCCCGATCCCCACACTCCACACCTTGAATTGGGCGCGGCCTCGGCTAATCCCCAGGCCTGGGCCTTCCGCTTTCTCTTCCTCTGGGGAAAGTCCAGAGGAGAAAAGAGGAAGCGAGAACTCATGCTCTAGAAAGCAGGAGTTTACAGTATGTCCTCACCTGACACGGTCGGTGGGTTCTTGCAACTGTGGTGAACTGACAGACGATGAAGCCAGTTTCACCCCAAGCCTCCTTGTTCTAAACAAGAGTGAAGTCCCCAACGCGTCTCATCCATGTTAAATGAAACGACATTATTCGAGGACCTGCTGTATTTCCACCCGAACTGATAACTCAGAAAGCAACTCTGGTGCCAGGCCTGGAGGGCGCGAGGCCCCCAGCTGCCCTTACAAGTCAGGCAGGTGGGCGTGGGGCGTAGCGGGCAGTGCCACTGCCTTCAGCTAACGGGCAGGGGGCGCGGGCCCCTTCTCCA